TGTAAGGCCCAGTCTCTGTGTCCTTTCATCACTTGCTTGTGCCTCAGAAACTCTAAACCATCTTCCTTTTTGTGTTACCTCTGGTGTTTACATCATGGGCAACAAACTGTAAGGATTCATTTTAGCATCTCTCAAATTTAACCCAGTAGCAACAAAACAATTTGGGGCACCTGCTGAGAACCAGGGTGTGGAGGTTCCCATCTTGTCAATTTTTATGCCATCACACGGCCTCACCCTTGTGACCTGTGCTTGCTTAAAAAAAAAGGGGGGGGGAGTGGAGATAGCTCCCTGCCTGCCATAGCCTGCAGTTCCCACCATTGTACTAATTTCAGGTACCTTGGCTCCTCACTAACCAGGAACAATATGAGTGGCTTTCTGGGGTCTTCATTAGGACTTCTCTGACTACAGCCGTGAATGGACCCTCCTTCCTCAGACATGACTCTCCAGCCTGAGGAAGAGGGAAATTCCTAAAGGCATCATATGTAGCTTCAGAGTGGACCCTTAGCAGGCTGACAACAGTGACTCAAATGAGAGGAGCTACAGCAGCCTGGATTGGAGGGTGGGAATGATGAAAAGAGGACGTCTGCCCTACCGGTGGGTTTTCAGCATAGACATGCAAGGTCAGTCTGTTCAAAGGAGAGGTCTGGCTTCCTGACAGAGAGATGGACATGTTCAACTGAGCTGAAGGTAGGAACTCAGGAAGAGGGAAGCTTCCAGACCCTAGTACTCAATAGGTGCTCCAGACTGTACCATAGATCCTGGTCTAAAAAGAGATGCTAAGTTTAAGATGAGTTCCCCAGAACCCAGACTGTCTACTTTTCTACATCTAGCTCTTTAGCCTGGGGCCGCTGCTTCCAAAATGGGCTTCTAGGACCTGGTGCTGCTTCACTGATAAGCAATTTCATCAGTGAGCGAGTTTGGAAAACTCTGGTCATGGTACTACTGTGTGGGGTGGTGGTAATCCTTGCTAGCAGACCTACGCCTCCAAGAAGGCCCGTGTTCTACTGTTTAACCCAGGGCTGATGAAACGGTGTGACTTCAAACCATACTAGTTCATATACCGAGAAGAGTCTGGATAATACTGGGTGGGCTTCCTGCCCCACACCGGGGGGTGCTCTTCTCTGGGGCCTAACACTGGCGGAAGGCTGGAGTGAAGGCAGACTACCAACTATGCAAATCACATGACTTTGGGACTTGCCAAAGGCTGGAGGGCGGGGAAGCCTGTTCTTGGGACTTAGTTCCTTTTCCTGTCTCCAAGGGGGGAAAAGCAATTTGAGGAAGGAAGGGCTTATTTTGGCTCACAGTCCCAGGTTAGACACAGGGACAGCATGGTGGCAGGAGCTTGAGGGAGCTGCCTTATCACATACATCCACAGTCAGGAAGCAGGCGGGAATGCGAATGCTCAGCTCGCTCCCCTCCTTTGAGTCAGCCCAGGACTCCACCCCAAAGAGTGCTGCTGCTCACAATTAAGATGAATCTTCCTACATCAATTAGCATAACCTAGGTAACCCCTCACAGGTGTGCCCAAAGGTGAGCACAGTCTAGATCCTATCAAGCTGACAGTATTAACCATCCCAGGGTTCCACGGTGGGAAGACTCCATACTGCTCCTCCTTCAAGGTGAGCCTGCGAGAGAACTCACCCTACCCCATGGAAAGTGGCATTCCCAAGGATTCAGAATGTCCAGAGAGCCACTGGCAGATCTGGCTTACAACCAGCAAAAAGAAACTTCCCTGGGCTAGCAGTGGCATCAGCATGGGATACTTGGCACAGAGCACTGTGCCTCCTCCCTCCCCCTTCCTCTACCTGCAACCCCTGTAGCCAGACACACTGTGGGGATGTGAAGCAGCACCGAGTTGCTTCCCCTCTTCCTAATTCATCGTGGTGCCAGGATTTGCAAGCCCACTGGCCTCTCTCTGCGAGAGGGCTGGAAGCAAGGCTGCAGACAAGCACACTATGCGAACAGAACAAATAACTAGGTGGCAGAGTTACAAAACCATGGTGTGTTTTATTAGCTAACAAGATGCATCTACGTTTAGTAAAGAAAGAACCAAAGTGCAAGGAGGCCTAGGGAACTGCCTCCTGAAGGGGTGCAGAGGGGCTGGGTGCCCACTCACGGGCCACAGCTGTGCCCTGTATTGACATCCCCAGAGCCTTGCCCGCCCTCCCTGTCTCAGCTCTTCCCTGAACCTCCTAGTCATGCCCAAGTCTAGTCAAGAAGCCCCAGGGTTGCACTTATCAACCTGCAGCCCTACCTGGGAAGGAGAGCTGTCACTGACTCAAAGGTGGACAGGTGACCCCACGCCAGACAATGGCAGGAAGAATTTGAGCTTAATTGGCAATTATTCAAAGGATAATGACATTTTACCGTAATAGATTTTTTTTCTAGCATTAAAAAAAATGTCCATGGCCCAGCACCCAACCCTGGGAGTTGGGACTCTCAGAACCACCCATGAAGTGCGGGGGGGGGGGGGAGGGGGGACGGTTGCTGTCACTAATCTAACACTCTTTGGGCATCAACCTATAGTGGTAGCTGAGCATCTTTCTTGAGAATGGCAAAAGATCAGAGAAACAGAACAGCAAGTCATCAGAGAGACCCTTGACCTCTACCAATGCTCAGACGGAAGGGGCGATCCTCAGACTGCCTAGACTGCACCTTCTCCACAAAACCTCAGGTTCCTATGAGTTCCTGTCTCCTCCTCCTCCTCGTACATCCCTCTCTGTCCAGCCACAGCACTCCTCACTCCACCTCCCTAGTGCTGGAATTAAAGGGCTGGGACCACCTTTGTGTGAGTTCTATTTCTCTTTTTAGACAGATTCAATCTCTCCTGTACCTTTTGGTGGCCTTGAGCCCTGAGATTAAAGGTGTGTGCCTCCCCACCCCCTGGCCCCTAGTGGTTTAGTTCTACAATCACATCTTCAGCTTTAAATAAAGGAGTGATAAGCCTGGGCAGAGAGGAGTACGTTAGGAGGAGGAGACAGCTTGTTGACGTCGGAGCTGTGGTGAAGAAAGTGTAGTCTAGGCAGCCTGAGGATTGCCCCTTCACTCTGAGAATTGATATAGGTAAAAGGTCTCTCTAGTACCTTACTGCTTTGCTTCTGACCTTCAGGCAAGTTTGATTTATTAAAATGCAATCAAATTATCACTATAAATAGGGATGAAGGCAAAATAGTTAGGACCCAGGCTCTGCTCCTAGGATCTCCAGTTCCATAGGCAATCAAAAGACATTCAAGGACTGGGTTGTGGCGCGTGGATGGGGAACTTGGGTCTGAAAAACCACTGGGGTCCTGGCGGGAAAGTTGGAGAGAAGCCTGGAGACAGTCGGTTCCAGATGGAGTAATGTCTTGGACAGGAGGCCCTTTCCTTCACCTATGGAGCAAGGGGTTTGGGGGATAATTTCAAGCCGAAGTTCCTTTCCATTTTTCCGAAGGACTGCATGTAACTGGAGCTTCGTAAATAGAATACAAGTATCTCTGCCCAAAGCCTGGAATCCTGTCCTTGGAGCGCAGTCCATCCCCCTTCCCGCCCCCTCCCACTCGCCTTTGGGGACAGCTTGGACTTCACTGCAGTCTAGTTGACTCAAAAGTGGGCATATCTGTGGATCGGAGTCCAGTGCCCCCTGGTGGCACTGAGACACACAAACCTTTTGGGACCTCTTGGGTGTCACTGCTGCCAGAGCTGCGGGAGGCCTGATTGGGGTTCCGTCGTGGGCTGAGCCACGGCTCAATTAATTACCAGTTGCTGGGAATCCTTGTCACTCGCTTGTGGTGACTCACCCCGCAGCCAGACTCACTTGCCAAGCACGGTGGTGGTGGTGTGGGAGGGGGGTGAGGGCTTGGATTCTAAAATGGATTTGGGGGAGTGCACCTGCTCCGGTGGGGCTTCCCATTCGCGTACCTGAAGACCCCATGGAGACATGACTGTCCAGGCATAGTGCACAGCGCCGACGCCCCTGCCCTGTGGTGCACCCACAAGCCTTTGAATTCGGGTGAAAAGCTTTTTACCTAAAGCCTATAAGGAAGCTTCAAACCCACCGGGCTGAGTATGGGTAGACAGAGGCAGACTATGATCCGTGAGGCTGAAGAACACGGGGTTTCTTCGAACTCACAGCTGGGCCTGATTCACAGGCTGCTTTTATCCCTGTGGTCAGTTTCTAGCTCTGGCCTCTTAGCTATTGCCTGGGCGGGTGGTGGTGGTGGTCACCAGACCCCTCCCATCTGCATCTCTTCCTTGTCTAGAGACGGAGAAGATAGCCCAGCCAAGGAAAGCAAATCCGGGGGTCTCAAGACCTTGGTTTTACATCTAGGGGTGTTTTGTGTGCAGGAAAACCTCTGAGCGACCTGAAGAGAGGTGGGTGGGTGGGAGATCCCGAAGGCCTAAACAGAGAGATACGGGCTTATTCGCTGTAAAAGACTAGGTGCTCTTTGGCAAGATCTTCCTGTCCCATCCCCAAGCCTGAACTTAGGAGGGTGAACTTCGCCGCGGTTTGCTGGAGGGACGCTCTCTGAGCTCTTCTCCTCTGCCATGGAAACAAGAAAAAATTAGAGAAGAAACAGGGAGCTTACTGGGGGAGAGAGGGAATGCGAATTCTTCCTGTCCTTCCTTTCTTGAGGTGTGTGTGCCTCTAAGAGCGGCGGTCTGCGCTATTCGCCAGAGCTCTAGGGGTAAGTAGCTGGGGTCGGCAGGTGCGGGACCACTGGAGACCCATCTGGCATCCCACCGTGGGGACTGAGGCTGTTAAAACCCCAACACTCTAGGAGGCAGTGCCCCAGCCAGTAGGGTGCTGCTGTGCCAGGTGGCTGCTGCAGCTGGAAGTCTGTGTGTGTGTGTGTGTGTGTGTGTGTGTGTGTGTTAAGGGGGGAGGGGACGGCGAGGCCACTGTTGCTGCACTCCCAAGTGCTCATAGCCCCTCCCCCTTCTATTCCCCACACTCCAGGTTTCTTCCTTAAGGCTCTAATCTGCCTCCACTGGCCGAATTCGTTTTTCATCCTCAGCTGCAGGTTTCTTAAACTCTCCACTTTTCCAAGGCTGTGTGCGCTCTTAGGGGAGCAGGATAGAAGGAACCCAGGCATTCGTGTTTATCCACCCACATCCCAGCCGAAACTGACTAGCGTCTGGGCTCCGACACCCGCACCCTGTGGCAGCACCCAGTTTTACCCCTCTCCCTCCTCCTCTAGCCACCTCTCCTGGGTTCCATAGCGAGCACCCTGCTCAGCCCTAGGTCTGCTGCAGGGGCTGCCAGCGCCGCCTCACCAGCTGGCTGGGGACCAGGCGGGAGGTGGCTTGCCCCGGAGGCTGCAGGAGGGAGGAAGGAAGAGAAGGAAAAGAGAGGAGAAGAGAGGAGGGAGGGAAGCCGGTCCTCGGAGTAGCCGGCCCCCCCAACCCCGTCCCTCCCGCCGGAGCGGGGCAGTCAAACGCAAACACGCGCGCACGCACACTCGCGAATACATACACTCGGGCTCCCTCCGGCGCGCACGCACAGCGCCTCAGGCAGACCAGAGCGGAGGCTGCCTCTCCTGACTCCTGGACGCCAGAGTCTCGGGATCCTCAGCGGCTGATGAGCCTTTGCCTGCCGCTATTCCTACTCTTCAGTTCCTCCAGGCCAGTGGGACCACTCCCGCTGCCACCACCTCGCCCGCCACCCGGGAAGGAGCTAGCTGGCCGACCATCGCCGCGCAGTTCCCTCATCGCCCTCAGGTAGCTCCGTTGTAGCTTCTGTCTTGGGCTTCGCCCTGTTCCTGAGCTTAGGAGGCTGAGTGAAACAAACTTCGCAGACCGGCTGACGCGCCACGGGCCCGCATGCCCCGCACTCCCAGGTGGGCACAGGACATTAGGACTTTGGGACATTGGGCTGCCTTGCCCATTGCACCTGCTAGATAGACGCTCTCCCTGCTTGCAGGGGATTCTAGAGACATCTTCACTTAGCAAACTTTTGTTTCCTCACCCAAAGGGGTGAGGAAAGCTAGAGGGAGAAGTTGGTCTCCTCCGGGCAACCGCCATCCTGGAGGCGATTAGCTGGGCCCCGCTAACCGCGGAACGCATCCAGAGAGATGCCGAACCTCTCCCCGGGTCGCCTTCTGTACCGACTCCTGATCCTGATCCTGCCCCAGCCCGGTCCGCGGGCTCGAGAGGCCAGGTGCCGAGGACCACGCAGCCCGCGCGAAATGAGCATGGGCCATCCATACGCATGACCATCCGCACTGGGGCAAGTCGCTTGACCCAGGCCTGGCGTAGGGTGTCCCGCGTCCAGGATCGCTGGCCTCCGCACCCTAGTGATGCCATGAGCATGCCTACCCTCTTGCCTATCCCAGTGGTGGTCACCACGCCCGCGGACCCCGTTGAATTCGTGGAATCGGCTGCACTGGGTGAGCCCGCTACGCCCGCAGAGTCCATTGTGCCGGCGGAACCCACTACGCCTGCAGAATCGGTTGTGCCCGCAGAACCCGCTACACCCGCAGAGCCGGTTGGGCACGTGGAACCCACTGCGCCCGCGGAACTTGCTGCTCCCACAGAGTCCGCCGAGCCTGCCGAACCCGGGGCATCTGCTGAGCCCGGGGCGTCCGCTGTGCCCGCGGAACCTGCAAAATACAGGGAGTCCACTGTGACCATCGAGACCGAGGAGCCCCAGGCACGCGGGAACGCTCCTCAGCTTGAAGGTGTTGAAGTTCGGAACAGTGAGGACCCCCAAGATGATTCTATCATTTCCAGCATCAGCTGCGGCATCTGCTGTTACCACCGCTTACAACTTAGACTCCATCGTAGAGGAGGCTTCGTCCGCGCGGCGCTGCATTGGGAAGCGCGCCCTGGTTTGGCTCATTTTCCTTTTGGCGGCTCCTTTTTCGCAGCCATGAAGCGGCAGAACGTGCGTACCCTGTCCCTGATCGCCTGTACCTTCACCTACCTGCTGGTGGGTGCTGCTGTGTTCGACGCCCTCGAGTCGGACCATGAGATGCGCGAGGAGGAGAAACTTAAGGCCGAAGAGGTCCGCATCAGAGGCAAGTACAACATCAGCTCCGATGACTACCAGCAGCTGGAGCTGGTGATTCTGCAGTCTGAACCCCACCGTGCTGGTGTCCAGTGGAAATTCGCGGGTTCCTTCTACTTTGCCATCACCGTCATCACAACTATAGGTAAAGAAGGGTTATAGAACTACCGGGCTCCAGAGGGAGGAGTCTCGGGGAAATAGTGTGCACTGTGCTAGCTAGGCTGGGTAGGAGGTTCCCAGGTTCAAGACAGCCCCATGTTTCTGTGTCTCACCCTCAGGGAATGATCTCAATTCTTCCAGGGGATTCTGTCTGGTGCTCCATACTGCTCTGGTGGGCCAAGCTTGTGAACTTCCAGAGACAGAATGCTGTTGTCTTGAGGGTGGAGGTGCCGCTTTTTTTTTTTTTTTTTTTGAGTGGAGCGCTAAGAATAATCTCACAGCCGACACCCACCCACCTGTGAGGGCTGTGCTTCCCTGAGTGGGTTCTAAGCCTTACACTTACTACCTCTTGGGGAATGTGGGACAAAGCTGGCTGGGTGACAGAGGGCTGTTTATGGGTCTATGGGTGATGGTGATGGGTATGGGGGATGGGTGAGGTATCTATTCCTCAGATAGGGGCCATTTGGGAGCCAAGATTTCAGCACCCATTATCCTTCCTTTGAGTTGTAGAATATGTTAGGTCCCAGGAGAAGAGTTTTCTCTTCGTTGGTTGGGATGGGGTTGGTAGCAGGTGACCTGTGATGTGGTCCTGATGGGTTGAATAGGCAGTGCTTGCTTGTACTGTGGACTAAGAGTGAGGACCAAAGGAGCCTGGATGTTGCTTGAAAACTGGGGGTGTTTAACTCACTGTGGGAAAGAGTCTGTCTGGTACAGATGGGGTTGCCTATAGATTCTCAGACTCAGGCCACTGTCCACAGAGTAGTCTCTGGTGGGTCCCAATGACTGTACCCCAACTGAGGTTGGGGTCGTGGAACACCTCTAGACTTGCACATGGAGACCTGTGGGAATCTGCGTGCCATACGTCACCCCAGGGGATGTGGTAGATACTCTTCTGGCAGGAGGCAAAATAGTGTCTCTGGCTGGCCAACTGCCCTGTCATGGCAGAATGCCTAGGGCCATCTCCTTGGACCTGTGAGAGCCAGAATGTTGTCTCAGAGGTGGTCTCTTGCCCCTGATGAGAGCCATCTTCCTTTCCTGGACCACCCGCTAATTTCCCTATGATATTTTTCTTTTCCTGAAAAGCCCTGCATTGCTGGAGGGGGGTGCGGGGAAAGGACACAAGATTTCAGGGTGCTTAATGCAACAGGAAACACCAGCCCAGGACAACCTGTCTTTCGTTCTTGTTTGAAAGGACTTTTAAGAGTTGCCTTTAAAAAAATATGTGCTAAATCAGTGCCAGTTTTTATGTTTGGGGGAAGAAAGTCACCCTTCAGTTGTCTATAGGACAGGTTTTGCCCCTGCTGGCTCCTAAGCGCCCTCCCCCCACAGGTTAGGGAAGAGACCAGCAGGTGACTGCGTCACTTCTGTCTTTGAACTGTGGGGGTGATGTACAGATGTGCAAGTCATTGGTTCTGGTGGCAGGTGTATTTGCTGGAAGGCAAGACTATGCTTGTGACACGGACAGAGGGGAGACATCTCATAGGCGTCTAAAAGTGCCATTTGTCATCTAGCTCTGAACTGGAGGGGGGTTGTTTTTCAGGCCGGTTCCCTGGAGTAAAACAGCACAGAAAACTTAACCAGTCCCAAGATGTGTGTGGCACAGTGAGGGGCTGGGGTTAAAGACAAATACAGTTATGTTGCAGCGTTCCTTAAAAAAATAATAATAATTGAGGTTGAGGAGGTTCTCGCTGAGGTATGATGTTGCCTTTATCGATATTGTTGGCAGTTCTGGACATAAGCTTCTAAGATTTGAAACTTCCAAGGAAATAGTGTCAAGGGAAGAGGAGCTAAAAGCAACTGTTGTCTTAGCCCCTCGGATAGGGGCTCTCATTAGTACAGGATCTGGGCCACTTGAGAAAGAGCTAAGATGATTTTTCTCATTTCCTTTATTGGATTTTCTACTGACTTGGGGAAAAGATTGCAAACACACACACACACACACATGAATATGCTCTCGTGTGCACACACATGCAGGTATCTACATAAATCCACACTCTCATGCATGTTCATATGCATATATGCATATACTTACATAATGCACATGCATATATCCACACTCATGCATATTTATATACATGTACAATATACTTATATGCAGAGACACATGTGAACACAATACTCTTACATACATGTATACATATGCATGCACACGTGTATACATGCATACACAGGTTTGCAGGCAGATACACATCCAGACATACACATTCAATTGCACACACATCCACATGGATACATACTTACTTGCTTGCACTCATACACACCTGCCTATATGCACACACATACACATGTATATGCATACACACACAAACACAGTTAAGGCAGCTGTGCTTGAGTGGAATCTGGAGCCTGCCAGACAGGAAGACTACAGTGATACCATTTTCGGACCTCCAGCCTCAGTTTCCCCACCTGTAGAACTTGTATTTATTAACCATTGGCTAGTGGCCTTTTCTTAGCTGTGGGAATGTAGGTTCCCTATCCCTGCCCTGCTCATTGTAGTGCTTAGTAGTTTTGCTTTTGACTGACTGAGCCCCTTGCTGTCTGCTTGAGAGATGTTCCACAAAAGCACCCACATCTGTAGGAAACAAAGCACCTTTACACTTTTGTTTTCTTTCCTTTTTTAACTACAAATACAAATGAAAGTGCTTTTAGGCCCAGGATAAGAGCCAGCCCCAAGCCATGCCCTCAAAGGAATGTGTCTTCTATTGGGCAATGATACCAGCAAAAGTGAGCTTCGTTTTCATAGCTATTCCTTTTTCACCTAAGTTTGGGTGAGTGTGTGTGTGTGTGTGTGTGTGTGTGTGTGTGTGTGCACTTTGCATCCAGGAGTCCTGGAGCTGTCTAATGAATGTGGCTTCTTAGATGCAGTTATTAGCTTACTCTGTAAAATGGATTTCAAAACATATACAGTTACTTCTTCATTTTGAATCTGTGACTATGCTTTCCTGAAAGTCCTTGGAGGCTGTTCTACAGACTCTGGCCCTAGCTCTCTGGGGAGTCCTGTGAATACCAACTGCCCTCGTAACCAGGTCCAGTTCTGGTGCCCATTCTTTCCTGTGGCTGTCAGGTGGCTGTCACTTGTAGCTCTCCTTAAAGGGGCTTTACTGTTTGGTTTTCAACTTGGGCAAGACTCCCTTGCCTGTAGATCACTGACCCAATTAGCTGTACAATTGAAACATCCCCTTCCAAGACCTGTTATGCAAGTGGGAGAAGTAGGTGGTACTGAGGGGCGGGGTCTGCATTGGCATAGAAGTTTTATTAGAATTATCTCTGCTTGGGGCTGAGGTCTTGGAGCTTGTATAATATATCACTGGTATGAACTTATCACCTTCCACAGTGGGAGGTTCAAGCTAAAACTGTCCCACAGTCAGCCTCTTTGCACAATCATGTACCAGAGATGGGATTTTCATCACACTTTGTTTTTCAAATCTAACATCTGTAGTCTAGGTTGGCTACCTTCAGGACCATTAGAAAGGAAGCCACCAGATGCCCTTTGCAGAACCATGGAGGACAACTTAAAGATTGGTTTGCCATGGGGGAAGAAGAGTTGGCTTGTGGTTTCTCTCCTCTAGCTACAGTTTTGGGGGATGGGGGAGAAGTTCACACTTCCTGACTTTCTGGGCCCATCTGAAGCTGAGGTTACTGCTATAGGAATGGAGGTGACTGGTTTAGGACTGGGGTCTTCAGGTGGTGGTGGGGCCCACTGAGAGAATCCTTAGGGGTCCTGCCCTGCTCTAGACAGACATGGAACTCCTTCCTTAATGAGGTAAAAGCAGATCATCAAACTAACTTTTCCCAAAATGGACAGCATTCATCATGGGTTTATCATGGGTTCTGGGTGTGGTTCGTGATCCACAGTCTTGTCAAGTACCTGCCCTGCCTTCAATACTCTGGGGACAGTCTAGATGACAAGATAAGGACTGGCCTTGGCAGAAGGTGCTAGAAATTCAGATAGTTGGTTGTAGTCCAGTGTGAAGTACAGGTATAAGTAAACTCAGTGAGAGCCTTTACCTGTCCTATGCCATCCGCCAGCCCGAGCATCCTTACCCAACACAGAAACCACCTTCCTCCCGGAGTCCTCCAAGCCCCACCTTTGCCCTTCTCTCCTCCAGTCAGTCTCAGCTTTGTGGATTCTGCTTATTCTACCTCGGGTCCACACTACCTTTGTTTCCTGACTTGCAGTGTCCAGTACAGTGCATCCCATGGAGCAGGCAACTCACAAAGGTCTGAAAAGCTGAGGCAGGACCAATGGGTCAGACAGGCTGATGCCTGAGAAATCATGGCACTTACACACCCACACACTCTCTCTTCCTCTCCCCCCTCTCATTTCACCCATGAACTTGTGGGAACACTGTCCTGCTTGACAAATTAGGAATTAGGTGTGCTTGACAAGGCAATGCACACCAAGGTAGAGTGCATGGAAAATCTTTTGCAAACTGGTTCTCCTTGCTGCAGGTTCTAGCTGGGAGTTATGCAGCTCATGGTGGGCCTGTGTGCCCTGCCTTTCACTTGGGGAGCCTGCCCAGCCAGATCCAGTTGATGGGAAGCCCTGGGGGCAAGACGATTCTGGGATCTTTATATGCAGGTTGGTAGCTTTATATGCAGAGGCCTTTCCAGGTCCTCCCTAGTCCTGGCCCTGGTCTCTCCTCATTCAACTCAGGGCTCTTTAACAAGTTTCCTGCCAACAGGTGCCATGGGGAAAGCAGGGCAGCAGGGGTGTTGGTTTGGAGGAGCAATCCAGACACTTCTCCATAGACACTTAGTACTCTGAAAAGAGGAAGAGATGAGATGCACACTGTGGTCCTGGTGCTTTTCATTCAGCATCCGATACCATGCCACTCACTCCCTCTACCTAACATGCCATCGTGAGTTTCTACCCAAACCGGTCATTCATTCCCTGGCCCGCCACAGTGCTGCTCAGTTCTGCATGTGCCTGCCCTTCATTTCCCATCAGCCACTGCTTCATTCACCACTGCACGGGCACCTCTC